GAGGGGCGGCCTCCCCAGTGCCCAGCACAGGGGCACGCTCCCTGCCCTGCTCCTGCTGGCCACACCACTCCTGATAAATGCCAGGATGCCATTGGCCCTCTTGGCCACCTGAGCACCCTGCTGGCTCATATTCAGCCCCCTGTTGACCAGTACCCCCAGGGCCTTTTCTGCCGGGCAGCTTTCCAGCCACTCTTCCCCACGCCTGTAGCATTGCATGGGGTTGTGACCCAAGTGCAGGACCTGGCACTGAGCCTTGTTGAATCTCATACAATTGGCCTTGGCTCATCAATCTAGCCTGTCCAGATCCCTCTGTAGAGCCTTCCTATCCCCAGGCAGATCAACACTCCTGCCCAACTTGGTGTCATCTGCAAACTTACTGAGGGGACACTCGATCCCCTTGTCAAGGACATTGATAAAGATACTAAACAAGACTAGCCCCAACACTGAGCCCTGGGGAACACCGCTTGTGACCAGCTGCCAACTGGATTTAACTCCATTCACCACAACTCTTTGGGCCCAGCCATCTGGCCAGGCTTTTACCCAGGAGAATGCTGTGGGAAACAGTGTCAAAGACTTTACTAAAGTCAGGTAAACAACATCCGCAGCCTTTCCCTCATCCTCTAAGTGGGTCATCTTGTCACAGAAGAAGATTAGGTCAAGCAGGACCCTCACAGGCAGGATCGTCACAGCTATGTGATCTGTTTCAGCCTTGAAACAAAGCAAATGCCTCAAACCTCTAGGCAAGCTGGCTCTGGTGCTTGAAGATGTCATAATAGCTGTAGTGGAGCTGACCAAAAGGAAGGTGTGCTCAAGCTTCACGTAAATTTCTTAGTGGAAACTGCTGAAAAAGACACATTCAGAATTATATGCTGGGCTAAGGACTGGAGCAGTTGAAGTGCCAGGACGCAATACTTGCTATTCCCTGCTGGAGCAGTGGTGACTGCAGAAGTTCTAAAACTCTGTGAGGTGGCTGTGGGTTGAAACACGACAGCAAGATCCCCCAGAGCTTATTTGCCATACCCTAGTGTCTAGGACACCACGCTGGTAGAGAGTCAGTTGGTCACTATAAAGCCCCTAAAACTTTCTGTAGGCGGGTTACATGACAGACTGAGGTAACTGAAGGATCCTGCTGACTGCCTATGCAGATCCCTCAAGCACTCTATGTTTTTTTTGTTATTCTTTCTTTTCTGAACTATTCTGTTCAGTTTTGTCACAGGAAACTGAAAAGTTTTTCCATTGCAACCAAGAGTTGCAACTATTCCTATATATCTTATTATAAGAAGATAAAATATTATTATATTGTATTATGTTATTATTAATATATTATTACGATGTATTAAGATAATATCTTACTATTATATCTTGTTAGAATATTCTCTCTTTCTACTCTTCCTCTCCTCTTACCTACACAAAGAAAGAGGACACATCAATAAACTGAGAGAGAAGGAGAATTGTCTCTTTCCTTTGTCCCCAGGGGAATCTGTGTCTGGTCTCTCTCCAGCCACCAGACACCATGATCTTCATTTCTCTCTGTCTTTTCAGCATCCTTCTAATTTTTTTTGGTCTGATTTCTTCCAGTAGTCATGAGGTTCCCGCAATGAATATGAAGATCAGGCCCATGTTTCTGAACTGAGCCTTCTCCAAAGTGTACCCTTTGGAAGAAGGAAGCTCATTTCTTTGTTCCTAGTGTTATAGGGGGCTGGAAGGGAGGGGGGAGGTGACTGAACATCGGTAATCCCGTTTTCCATCCCTGTAATTCCCCATACTTTGAATGTAGAGACTGAAGTAAGGGAAAGGTGGATATCTGGGGTCGATGTCTTAAAATGTTTTCTACATTCTTATGAAAATCAAAAATGTTGGAAAAAAATTTCAAAATGCTTGGAGAGCCCCCTTCCACCCCCAAATGTCACAGGGCTCACCAGTCCTGAAAATAAGGTGGTTTTTTCAGTGAGGATGAAATACTCACTGAAGAGTGTAATACTCTTAAGGGAGGGAGTGTGTATGCTCATATGAAAACCTAGGTGGCTTTCAAGAATCTGGATGGCATCCAAAGATTTCATCATGGTTACTATGCTGTATTAGCAATTGTGCATGGAGGATTTTTTTAAAACCTCATTTGAAAATGGAAACTCACTTCTTTGCAAGTCTTCTTTCCAGGCATGGAAAGCTGCCCCACAATCCACTGTGACACACAGGAAAAGGTCCAGACACTCCCAAGTTATAGAAACTGGCAGTTGAGACAGGGAACTGTCCCTTCAAGTTGTTTTGACTATATGAGCTCACTATAGGAAACAAAAAATCTTTCCTCTTTGTAAGAACTTTGTTGAATTCTGTCCTGAAAATTACATTTGAATTCAAATACAGTAAACAGGGAAATGATGGTTCAGCAAAGAGAGAACAGAAGATTGCTTACTGGCCTGAAGCCTACCTGGATTAGCAGGGACTGACAGATTTCTCTATTTGAGAAAATACTTGCCACCATCAGTCGAGTTACCAATGGACAGATGCTCACTCAGAAAAGCATA